CTGTTGTTCCTGCTTTATTCAAATCCCTTCAGTTTTTTGTTTTGTTATCTGTGTGTGCAATTTTCTCTCTTTGCCTTCATTCAATTCATCCTATTTTTCAGTTATAAAATCAGTTATTTTAAGTTTGTTTCCATGCTCCTCCTGATCACACTTGTAATCCGTTTAGAATAACCATTTTACAATTATATTCTAATCCTGTGTAATTTTTTGTTTCTATGCCTCTTGTAATCTATATTCACACCTCCTAACTTACATTTCAAGTTGCGAATTTTGATTTCAATTTGTTTCCATGCTCATTTTGTTCACACCTGTATTTCGTTCTATCCCTGCGTCTCTAAGCCTCTTGTAATTCATATCAAGTTGAAAATACTTATCACCTTTTATTCGCCTTTAAAATTAATTCTCCAGTTATCAAATATTAATTTAGCATACGTTGTAACTGCTTTTTAATCCTATGCAATCTTGTCTCTAAGCCCCTTGTAATCTGTATTCGTACCTTCAAACTTTCATATCAAGTTGAAAATTATTATCACCTTCGTTACTATGCGGAATTAAACAAATAATAATTGTATCCATGTAAACTAATCTATATAAATGCGATTGTACAGCTTTTGAGAATGAAATCGCCGAAAAGATATCTTTACTGAAGTTCTTGTTCTTTTCAGTCTAATGTTCCAACGGGTATTTTCCACGATTTGAAAAACTTTTCATACTTAAGTACTTTGTTATCGTTTTCATCACTTTACCTAGTCCCCCATATCTCTGTTGTTTTTAAGAGATAACAGTACTGTGGAACATTTGTAAGTCGTTTAAAGAGTATTTAGGACCTTATCATCGATAACTTTCGAATAGGTTCATGAAACTCACAGGCTCAGATTTCAGTATTGATGCATATTCATCTCTTGGTCTGTTTGTGTTCGACTTCAATTAGAATATTGTCACGGGCTGGTGCAAATTCATAGTATTTAGATCTCAGTCGAGGCAACCTTTGTGATCTGCCTGGATAGAAGAAGAAAACTAGTACTCCAGTGTGTTGGATAACGCAGCTATGATATCCTACATATTCTTTTAATAAGGATCTGCAATACCGGGCTATTTCTTTTTATTATTTTTTTTTGATTACAGCTTGATTCCACACGGTATTTTTGGTATAAGTATGGAATTTTCAACATGGATATCGGTAGCCCAAATTTAGCAGGCCGACCATAGATATCAGGTGTGCGTCGGCAGGAGATCGAACCTCAGACCATGTGCATGGCCGGCGAGAGTCCTAACCACTGTGCCACCGACACACATTCTCAAGTTAATGTAGACATTTGAAACCGAATCCTAGTGAGTACTTTTGTCACCTATCAATTTTACAATTCTCTTTTTAAGGTTGTGCATTTAGAAAAAGACTGCGAAATATCTGAACTAGGAATATCCGACCAATTAGACATACTGAAAGTGCTCACAAAGTTGTACTTTCATTTCACCACAAGGCATTTTAAGCTGTCTGCAATAGCTTATCAAAGTGAAATGATGTTTATACGGCTAAATTTTCCGCTGACGTCAGCAAATACTTTCTTATTAGCACAATATTGACAGTTTAATTGTGATCCGGAGATAAATCATTTTATATAACAGAAGATAGGTACGATTTTATCAAGCGGTGCGATGTAGATTAAAAATTGCGAAACTGCTTACATTATTTTGAGCTCAAATAGTGAAGTATCATTATGCAATATTTTATTGCGAAAATCTCCCAAATCCTTTACTTTATTAGGAACATTAAACTTCATTTGAAGGTATATATGAATTTGCTGGACGCTTCAAACACAAAAAGCTCCAGTAAATTTACTTATTAGATCCGAAATATTCTTTATTCGAGTCATAAAATATTTTCGGGAAGAAAGTTGGTGCTAATACGTTTTGGTCATTTATGTATGATAATGTATCCACAATTTATTACCTCTGATATATTTTATGGAATCACAATTATAACATTCAGCTTCAGTACAATTCAAAACCTAATCCAATTTCTCCGTATCTGATCCGTACTCAAAATGTAGAGCTAGTATTCACTTTTGTAACATAAGTGCCACAGTTCTGCTTGACTTACATAGATCCTGCATCGACTGATAATCAGTGACCACTATGTACATAGTTGTGTGACAGAATTTATGATTCGGAGATCTCATGTGACCGCTTCACTTGATAGCATATACATTTATTTGAATATTTCCGATAATTTGTACACGTTATTTCTTACGTCTCCCCTGAGTATTATAATTCTGAGATGCGCCAATTGTACTATAATTATGTATTGATATTTGTCTTTACTTTTATCACATTATTATTCCCTTGGGTTCCAAGCGGAACATAGGGCTTCAACAACGCATCTCCATTTTGTTCTATTTGGTGCTATTTTCTTCAGCTAGGCCCACGATTGACCATAATCTCTCATCTCCTACTCACACGATCTACTCCATACACGACCACACTCGCACCGATGACCCACTCGTCGCTTCCCATACGGATTCCACTAGAGCGATAACCTGCATTGCGCGCGATGTCATTCGACAGCCTTCTCAACGTATGCCCGATCAATCCATCCCCATTTTCTCCTACATATTTGTTGAGCAATCGGATCTTGGTTGGTTTATTCCACGCCAGAGTTTCTTGATGCTAATTCTTTCTGGCCAGCTGGCAATTCGATCTTCAGTATGGAGCCACTGAAGTGGGTAACTGTTGATAAACGTCTGTAACTTGTTGGAAATCCTTTTCGTGACGCACACGCAGTGCAAGTTTCTCACCCACATCGAAGTATTGATTGTCTTCACATTTGTGTTGGAAATCCGAGTCTTGTTCTTTATGCTGAGGTGGAGAGCAGAAGATTTCCAAACTGCTTTCAGTTTGATGAAAGCGTATCTTGGCTCTCTGATTCTGGTTGGCTTTGATATCTTCATCCGTTCCGATTATCTTTGGTTTAATCCGTGCTTCCTAGATAAGTGAAGCAGGTAACCTATGTTAATTCTCTCCCGTTGATGGTTATTGGTGCAGGTTGTTGTTGTTGCGGTCTGTCGGTTATCTTCATCACATCCGTCTTCACCTAAAGTCCTTCCTTGTCTGTCAAACTCTTCAGCCAGTTTTTTAGTTTTCGCCTGTCTCTAAGTGTTCGAGTCTGTGTGGCGTTAGACATAAATCATCTACACGCAAAATCCAGATCTTCTTATCGGTCCAACGTATTCCTGTCCTCTCACTCCCCACAGTCTTTAGTGGAGATTTACTCCATTTTTTATGCTGGACTATAAGGCGTTGTTTCACTTTTTCGATATTTTGGCTGAACTCATGTTTACAGAGGAGTAAATCCCTGAACTTTCTTGACTAGAAACACTAACTACTCTATTTGACACTTGCAGAGAGAAATTTCATCAGTTCTCTTGGGAATATTTATGTTGGTTCTCAGGTTTTCGATAGTAATACTTTTTCACCTATTTTGCTTTATACTATGTTTTCTGTACCGAAAAAATCTTTGGATTGTAAAGCTGCGCTAACTGATTCTTGACGTACTTTTTTATTGTTTAGTGGTATGGGAAAATTAATCATATTACATGATATTTTGAGATTGTTGAAATGAAATCGTTGACTTCGTGTGATAGACTATACGAGTAAGGCTCAATTCCTTGGCTGGATTGTATTAACGTCATTCCGTTGAATTCTCTCATGCAACGACACCGAAATACTAAGTTACTGGTTATTCCACCATGTTTCGCAGTCTAGTTACCGCTATCAGACGGTTTTCGGAAGAAAATGAGATATTCAGTAAATGAGCTTAGATCATAACACATGACGACACTGATCGGTGAATACTTTGACCCCAAAGTTCGTATAGTCTTTCATTTAACGGAGATAACATTTTTTCTCTCTACATTCAAGCTGTTACATCTTTGATTATCAACTTACATAGCTACTCATGTTTAACTCTCGTTCATTAGTTACAGAGTGTTAGTAAAACTCTGATGTTGTAAAATATGACTTTTAATGTAGAACAAATAAGTTTTACAGCTTTTGTAGCTGAAACGAAAAGAAATTGAAGTAAAATTTATTGATTGATGGACAAATTAGAGCAGAATTAGTCTTTTAATTACAAGGAACCTTCATGAAATGATGATGAAAGAAGCGCCTGGATATTTGTATCATTCGAGTCATTATCATTCAGGTTGGTGGCATTCTATACACTTTTGATTTCGTTGAATGCAATTATTTAATGATGCTGTCATTTTTACTACTGTCTTTCTGACATGTCATCAATTTCTGTGAACTTTCTTGTAGTGAACTTGTGGTAATAGTAATTAAAAAAACTTCTTTACATCCACTTTAATTAATTCAATTATTTTAACGAAATGAAGTTGGCTTTGTGATATGTTTTGCTTACTAATATACGAATTCTTTCGCTTTTCCGATTAACTAAGTGGCAGCGTCTCTGACTGCGACAGTGGTTGACCCAAGTCAGATTCTCAGAAGAGATATGAGTTCCTTCAAGACTACAGATACACCTTGCTGGCGATTGGTAACAAGGCTTCTCGATGATTGTTTCCACCTGTCTAATAACAAGAATTCTTAGTGTATCATAGTGGCAAGCCACCTAGCATGTTGGCCACATTTCAAATTTGACTGATAGATTTCAGTTTGCAGGAAACAAACAGCTAGACACATGACACTGGTTACTGCTTAGTATCCGATCAAAGTTTCTGCTTCAGTTTATTTTCAGTTTTCAGTGATCCTTTGCAAAGATTCTACGTGATACCTAGAATTTACTTCTGTCTCCTTTTTTGTCTGCACTTAGTTTGGCTTTTGAGGAGAGATAGTCTTTCAAAAACCAAAAAAAATCATAAATTTCCAATTGTTGTATATTGAGAAAAGATGACTAGTTCTGTGAATACAGTTGATGTTATGTTGATTGATCAAAGTTAGTCATAAGAAATGCTGTCCCAACAGAATTCATCACCATTAACACGTTACTGAGATGATATATGTTTAAAAAAAATGATACAAAATACGTGAAACAGAGTTATGCTTATGACGTTCAACAATATGACACTTCTTGTAAGTCTGTTTGATCCATTTTTAAAATATTTTATTTCTAAAAAGCGAATTATAAATATTTTACTGTAAATGATAATTTGGATAATTAAAATAAAGTAAAAATTCATTCAATTGAAGTTCGCTGTGGAACTAGTGGACGAAACATGCGTATGGAGCAACTCAGTGGAATAAACTTTTTCTGATATAATCCCAAGGAATCATCACATTCATAGTACTCAGTATAACGGTGATATTTGGTTGTTTTTTTTTCAATATTTTCATGGATGCATATTAAACTTTGTTTTTCTGTTCACATTGAGTATCTGGATAGAGTGGCGCACACACAAGAACACTCTGCCAACTGACACAACTAAATTTCACAATTGATTTATCTTGGCTATCAAAAAACCTAGAGGCTTAGTTACCTGGCTGACTGAATTCACGGTAGAAATGTGTTTGTTTCATTTAACAGTGGCTAATCTAATAGGTTTTAAGATTTGTCCAATTTTTTACAGGCACTTTCTAGGCAACATGGAGAGATTTTCTCATGTTTAGTTTTGGGATTTTTGCTTATGCGGGATAACTATTGGATTGTAAAATGCTTGCTTCTTCACCCTTTAATGGTAGGGTTCAAGCTGTATTTTAACCAAACATATTTTCTGTCAGACAGGCTGTTAATGAATGAACTTCTGGGAGAGTCGAACATTTTCCACTAGATGCATTGTGATGCAAAGTGCACATTATCAATTCGACGCTTTAATATTGAAATAAAAGTTAGAAAATTACGCATCTTGAAGAGAATGTGTTCCATCAAATTTTCCAATAACTTTATTCCACAGAAAATAATGAATATTCCGTCAATTAAATAGTTTACCAAATGAACAGAAAAAATGTCGCATTTCGTCTAGTCACTTACTATGTACTGATAATTGGTTATCCAACAATTTGAATTCATTGCCGTGCATATATGGTGTGGCATGTATTGCACGAATTAAATCACCTTTAAGAAGGTGTAAAAAATTGACAGATTCATTTTGTTTCAACCACTGACGGATACTTGATGCGTTAAACCATAATTCCAGGACTGCATCCAACCAGCTGACATTTTCTAGCTTAAATGTGCACTGTTGATAGGCTGAATTTGGAAACGCTTGAATAACTTCTGTAAACAAGTGGTCTACCTATGTGAGAAAGCAGACATGAGAAATATTATAAACTTTGAAAAAACTGTTTTCTTTATTCTGAGGCTGAATTACTTTTCTGCAGGCTTGGAACTGAACCGATTATTTAACAAAGACCATAGTGTGAAAATGAATTCATGAACTAAACTTCAATTTCAACTGCATACATGTGTAAGCGACATCTGATTCAAATAATGTTCTTATGGCTACGTACTTGCACATAGCACAGCCACATGAGCAACAGAAGTCACAGTTACATGAAGTGGAAGCAGTCTCTCTATACAGTCTTAAAGAAGAGGTCTTAACTAATTCTGAAATAACATTTTTGTCCCCTTAAAAAATTTGCCAAGTCAGTGTATTTGCGGCTGTAGTAAGTTACACTTAGGGCTAAGTAAGTTTCAAGAAATGAGATTGATGACAATAAAGTAAACATTTTGATTTTCCGTTCAAAGTCCTGAATTTCTCATTCAAGTTTAGATTATAATAATAATTGATTAGTATAATTGATCAGTGATAATTTGTATATGCGAGACACTTTCGTCTTCAAAATTTACATTGCATAGAATTTTTCTGATACATTGTATATCTGGTAGGGCACTTGTATGAACTTATGTAGCCTTCTGAAATCACAGGATAAACACGTCATAATAAGGTTAGACTAGATGATGAATAGACACTATGTGTGCTTGCATTTCACACTATTTTCACATGCACGCAATTGGGTTCTTTGAATGCTTTCGTTTCTGGGATGACACTCTTTTCACATGAAAATTCAAAATACACTGAGTGATGTGTGACAAAAAACAACCTATAATGACCTTCCATAATAATTTGTTTATTAAATGCAGCACACAGTGAAACAGTGTTATCGACTGGATGACGAAGTTTCGAACACAGCTGATTGTTCATAATCATATCTATTAACTTATAAGTGACATGATTATGAATAACAAATTGCGTCCAAGCGTCATCCAGTAGGTAACACTGTTTCACTGTGGGATGTATCTAATAAACAACTTATTTTGGAATTACATGCTACCACACTGGCCTTCACCACTCAATCCACTAATGTATTAGAGCAAATGTTTATATAACCTATTCATGTAAATTGGATAAATTTATAGAATTTTATTATGGATAATAGGCTTACGTAAGTACACACAGTGTCACCAAATTTAATCAGTTCCATGCATGACGCCTCTTCTTCCATAAAAGATTGTTCATATACTATGTATGCAGTTAAATAAGCATGTACTTCCAGGATAATAATATCTAAAAAAATGAGCATGGCTTTAGGCAATCATCTAATTGGGAAATTATGTTAGCATTCCATCTTCAGTTGAAAAAATTAACTACAGGTACGTAGACAAGGTAGTGAAATTTTCATAAAATTAAACTCGATAACCCATGCAATTAAATGTGAAACAGTAATCTAATGAAATTAGCTAAGAAACTGTGAACATTCGGTAATATTCAAGATTTTATGCTGAATAAATGAGTCTGCTTGTTATATATAGAAATCAAGATATCAGTAGTTATGTCTAACTACATCTGATCATTATCTGATACACATAACTGCCCTATTATGAAATCTCGAGCCTCACTTGGAAAGAATCGGATCCCGATTAGTTTTATTACATACGTATAATCTGTTGCCATTGAGGTGGGCTGAGTGTACACATTCCCCTAGAGAATGTCAGCATAATGATTCTCAAGCTCTGCACAACATAATGTAGATACTGATAACAGTTTTATTCCGGAAATGATGTATAAGCACAATATGCAATTCTCAGCAGAATTTCTTGCCAAACGTTCATATCGCAAGTAAAATATGAGCAGTATGCTGTATGATACAAAGTCGTTTTGTCTTAAATAAGACTCAATCCTACACAAGATTTCTTTATTTTCTCTTTGAAGTACGTAGCTGTAGGTTGTAAGTCAGTTAGAAATTCGTGTGAATTCATTTTGCAGTCCAAAGACATACTTTTAAGATTAAAACAACAAGACCAGAAAAGCTGTGATGGTTCAAACATGGAATTTAGAACTAATTGCATGTGGTTGCACTATTGAACACAGGCTGGCTAAGGATATACCTCATGCAGACTTCTAATCTCGTTTCTCATTATTTGAAAATTCTCCTAATGACACTGATTATTTGTTAGTCCAGCTGCTACCAGTGGATAAAGTTCGACTCTTACACAATACTCAGAAATACTATGGGACTATTATAAATGCAGCAAAAAGAGGTTGTAATATTCAGTGTAAGCGACGATTTCCTGACTTTTATAAGCGGAGAGATGCGATTTCAGTACATCCTGAAGGATTTCTATGTCTGAATGACAGCATCATAACTCCTCTGACTTTCAAATCTGAAACTTTGAATGATCTTCATTCTGCTTATCTGCAGGTTGATAAGATGAAATCATTGACACGGCCAACGTGCGGTGGCCGGAAATCGATGTTGACATTAGTAAAGGATTAAAGAGCTGTTGCAGCTATCCGCTTAAAATGTCGTATGAAAAGTCATTGTGTAAACTATGGTATTCGTTTTGTGAAATTTGGTAGCGTATTCAGGCGGATTATTGTGTGATAGGATCCCACGCACTTTGTTATTGATCAATTATTTCAACGGCTGTTAATCTCGCATAAATGGTATATCATCATTTCCCACGCACTTTGTTATTGACTATTACGATCAATTATTTCAAATGCTGTTAGCTGTCTGTATTGTTGTAAAAATGTATAAATACCACGTGTTGTTTTCCTAAATAAGTTCTTTGTTGTAGTTGTTGTACTACAATATACAGTCACAGGCCAGCCTTTGTCTTTTGATATTTGCGTGGTTCACTGAATCGGAAGGTACCACAAGCAGATAGGCATAATAGTCAGGCGCAGAGAGAACAAGGCGACAACGTCCTCATTTAATTCCCTACCGTTATAACAAATTGGCGACGGGGTTTACCTTAATTCATTGCAGTTGTAACAAGCAAGCGACGACGGGTTTTGTTCTGTTCAGCGCAGCTATAGAACATTTTTGACTGTGTTAATTACAACCCAATTACAATGTCTATCTCTCTGGACGATCTCAAATCTATCTTGCAGCAGCAGCAAGTTCAGAATGAAGCAGCTCAACTAAAATTAATCGAAGCTCTCACTCAGAAGCTGTCCATTCAAGTTCCATCAACATCTCATTCAGACAAATATGAAAGCATCTCAAATTCCATCAGTGAGTTCAACTACGACCCAATATCTGGTCTCGTATTTGATGCATGGTTCAATCGTTACGAAGACGTTTTCCGTATTGAATGCTACATGTTTGATGATGCTGCCAAAGTCCGATTGTTACTAAGAAAACTTGGTACTGTTGAGCACAACAGATATGTTAACTTCATTCTGCCCAAGAACCCACGTGAGTTATCATTCGATGAGACAGTCACCGTTTTATCACAAATCTTTGGTGAACAGTCATCCATGTTTAATATTCGGTATCAATGTTTTCAGTTGACAAAAATGCCTTCCGATGATTATGTCACTTACGCTGGCAAAGTGAACAAGGAATGCGAAAGGTTCAAACCACACGAAATGACATCAGATCAGTTCAAGTGTTTGATTTTTATTTGTGGGTTGAAGAACCCAGAAGATACTGACATAAGAACTCGACTTCTGTCACTCGTGGAACAAGACCCGAAAATGACTTTACAAATGGTGACAGCAGAATGCCAACGCTTAATCAACTTGAAGCACGATACTGCTATGGTGGAGTGCAAACGACAGTCGTCTGAATTTGGTTCAATTAACACAGTGAAAAGTCCTCCGATCACCGTTAAGCACACAGCACGTCAGTCTCAGAATTCAGCTAAACCTCCTTCAGTGTGCTGGCACTGTGGTTCGTGGCATTTTGTCAAGCTCTGTCCTTTCAAGAAACATAAATGCCGTAATTGTCACCGTTTTGGACATAAAGAGGGTTACTGTCCACCGCAGAAAAATTCTTCGGTGAGGAACAGAAGTAGTCGTTTCAAGCCGAAACAATCTCCTCGAGTACAGACCATTTTCACAACTTCCAAAGTCGATTTCGCCAGCAAACGTAAGTACATTACACTAGGTATTAACGGCAAACATATTCGTCTTCAGTTGGATACGGCATCAGATATCACCTTAATTTCCCGAACTACGTGGCGCAAACTTGGGTGCCCACAGATTCTGCCGACCGAGCATGTCGCTAAGAATGCCTCTGGAGATATACTGAAACTCGTAGGTGTGTTTTTTTTTTTTTTTTTTTTTTTTTTTTTTTTTTTTTTTTTTTTTTTTTTTTTTTTTTTTTTTTTTTTTTTTTTTTTTTTTTTTTTTTTTTTTTTTTTTTTTTTTTTTTTTTTTTTTTTTTTTTTTTTTTTTTTTTTTTTTTTTTTTTTTTTTTTTTTTTTTTTTTTTTTTTTTTTTTTTCTGATCAGTCTCTCTTGCAACGCCTGTGTCAAAAGCACGCTTTTGTCTTCCAGGACAAACTTGGTTGCTACAAATTTACCCAAGTTGTTTTGTCTCTAAAGCCAAACGCGAAGCCAGTTTTTCGTCCAAAACGTCCAGTTCCGTATGCTGCTGTCACATTGGTTGAGAATGAACTCGACAGACTGGAAGCATTGGGTTTCATCAAACCAGTAACGTATTCGCCCTGGGCTGCCCCTATAGTTGTTGTACGCAAAGCAAATGGTTCCATTCGCCTGTGTGCAGATTTCTCAACTGGGTTAAATGATGCTCTAGAGGATCATGCTTATCCATTACCAATTCAAGAAGACTTATTCGTCAAACTTAATGGTGGTAAGTGTTTTGTAAAAATTGACCTTGCCGATGCTTACCTTCAAATAGAAGTTGAACCAAAGTCTCGAGAGTTGCTAACAATCAACACTCATAGGGGTCTCTACCAGTTTACTGGCTTACCATTTGGTGTGAAACCAGCGACGCCAATCCTTATCCATCGTTGATGAATGCATAATGTTTGCTGATCGTGTTGTGGTTCCAGCTAATCTTCGTAACCATGTGCTTCGTCAGCTTCATACATCACATCCTGGTGTTGGGAGAATGAAGGCGATCGCTTGCAGTTATGTTTACTGGCCCAACATCGATGACCATATCGAAGACCTCGTTCGCAAAAGTAGTAAATGTGCTCAAGCATCAAAGTGCCCACGCAAGACAGAAATATGTTCCTGGCCACGACCGGACAAACCATGGTCCCGTGTTCATGTTGACTTCGCTGGACCGTTCAATAGTATGCATTTCTTAATATGTGTCGACGCGTTTTCCAAATGGCCAGAGATATTTCCTATGCATTCTGCCACATCAATTGCAACAGTGTCCCACCTACGTCAACTATCCTGTCGTTTTGGTATGCCTGATGTTCTGGTGTCCGATAATGGATCGCAGTTCACCTCATCACTGTTCTCAGATTTCTGCAAATTGTTTGGCATCCAGCATATTCGTAGCCCCCTGTATCATCCCCAATCGAATGGACAGGCTGAACGTTTCGTCGACACCTTTAAGCGTGCTTAAGCAAAAGCGAAGGGGGAGGGAACAACAGAAGAAATTTTGGATAGATTCTTGCTGCATTATCGTACGACGCCAAATCCTTCCGCCCCAAATCAGTTATCCCCAGAACTGCCCTCGACTCAATTAAGCCTAGACAAGTAAAGCAGGGTTGCAGAAATACAAAAATGGAAAACCAATTCAATCGCCATCACGGAGCTAAACGTCGAGTTTTCAAATTGTATCAGCACGTTTATGTACGAGATTTTCGATATTCACCTCCAAGATGGATTCGAGGACAAATAGTGGGGCAGAAAGGAAGGGTTTTATACAAAGTGAATGTAGAAGGACAGTTATGTGTCAGACACACGAATCATATACGAGATGCGTCAGATAGACTCGACAATGGGAGACGAGACCTCACGCTAGAAGTATTAGTAGATACATTTAATCTTCCGCAGCCGGAAGCCCAGGGCATAGATCACACTCTATCCAGTACCACGCGAAGGTCAACTCGACAGAGAAGAACTCCGAAACCTGTTGAAATAGATCCAAAAAGCGAGTCCTACACCTTTTACGGGGAGAGGTGATAGGATCCCACGCACTTTGTTATTGATCAATTATTTCAACGGCTGTTAATCTCGCATAAATGGTATATCATCATTTCCCACGCACTTTGTTATTGACTATTACGATCAATTATTTCAAATGCTGTAGCTGTCTGTATTGTTGTAAAAATGTATAAATACCACGTGTTGTTTTCCTAAATAAGTTCTTTGTTGTAGTTGTTGTACTACAATATACAGTCACAGGCCAGCCTTTGTCTTTTGATATTTGCGTGGTTCACTGAATCGGAAGGTACCACAAGCAGATAGACATAATATTTAGGCGCAGACAGAACAAGGCGACAACGTCCTCATTTAATTCCCTACCGTTATAGCATTGTAGTACATTGTGAAATTCACAATATGTTCTAGTTATTTTCGACTCTTATTCTAGATAGCCAGAGAGCTTTTAGGATTGAAATCCGAGAAGTAATTCCAGATGTCTTAGTTGCTGATAATGGCACTGATTTCGCTGAGAAGAGCTTCAGTGACTGGCTTACAGATATAAGTTGTCGTCATTTGTGCACAGCACCATGTCATCGTCAATCTAACAGGTTCTCAGAAAATTTCGTGGGGACATCAAAAAGTGTCATAGCATCAATGAGTTCTAAGAATTTTGATGAGCTACAGAGATGTGTAGATAATTTCTTACTTCAATATTGCAATGTGGGGAATACAAATACCCATGAAAGTCCTGATTAACTATTGAAATCTTCCAACGCATCTGATGTCCGCTACTTCTGATGTGCATTATTATAGAGGGAATGACTGTCAAACTTCTGCTAGATTCAAGCTACTATAAGTGGGAAATCGGATAGTGAAGACATTCGACATCGGAGATCATTAAGTTCACAACAGACAAGTAGATCAAATGAAAATAATAGCAAAGAATCAGTTAGAAGATCGGAGAATCTTGCAAGCAAACCAACACCTCATTATTAACATGCCAGGATACATTCAACATGTGACGAATGTGGTGATTTACAGTTTCTATTACTGTATTTTTTGAATGCTTACTGCTGTTTGTTAGTACTTATTATATGGATAAAAATTTACTCTTCCAAATACAGATTCTTAAATTCCTCCCTCTCTGAGTGTTATTATTTGGTTTCCAGTGATTCGGTCATTGCGAAATACTCTATCTATCTCTTCTATCTTATTTCTTCACGTTCTCAAGCGGGACATAAGGCTTAAAGCTAGAGCTTTGAAGTTTCGGTAGCAGTGGTATTTATTTTTACGGGATGATGCCTTTTACGAGATTCATCACTAGTGTAGTCAGGTAAAGGAGTAGGTCGGCTGAGGATCGAAACCCGAACCACCCGCGTGGTTGGCTAGCATTCTACCCATGTGTCACTGATGCATATTGCGAAATAAATTTATAAATCACTACAACAAGAACAATCGATGTATTATGCTGGATGGAAACACAGTTACCATAAAGATTCAATCCAAGAAGAATTTAATCGAACTTATTAATATAAAGATGTACTCAAAGGCTGCCGAAACACTGCAGTGTAAAAATAAGAGTTCTGTAGTTATAACTGTTGGCTGAAACTCCATAGAGAATGTAACGGTTGCTGTTCTATGTGGAGTTGCAATTCATTTAAAGTACTTATTCGCATATTGTTTTCTTTTGTACTGTTGGAAATCTTTACAATCCGGAACCAAAAGCTTGGTCTACCGCAGTTATCGATTTCTATTTGTGACTTAATTTTCTTCTCACATTATTAGTATCTAAAAACATTTTGGAGATTTGTTGAAATAAACAGATAGAAATGACTTCAACTTTCCACATATGCAAGGTTTGTTCACATGATAAAACCTAAGGAAATCCCAGGGTAAAGTTTTCCATCAAATCTTCTTAATAAAGATATAATCTGAGGAAAACAAGCCCTTGATTACTTGTTTACTGGAGAATTTCTTAACAGAGGAACTTTAGTTAGAAAATTAATATAAATCACGGGGCTACCTGATTTCTAATCAAAGTCTTTCAAATTATCACAAACTAAATACTGGAATCGCATTTCCATTCACATTCTATCAAGTATTTTTGAAAAAAAGCAGAGGTCAGATTGATTTACCTGTTAAATTCATAACTAAATAAAAAGTAAAAAATGCGAAACGAAAATCGATTTTTAAGGGATTTTGTGGACGTCATTAAAATTTCACCAAGACTAGACTGATCTGTAAAGTCCTCAGTTAGATAGCCAACAGCCAAACATAAACCTCAGCTTATGTCACTGACAAGCATTGCTCTTCTAGTTTAAAAAACAGTATTATGCAGTGACATCTTGAAATTTAATTTCGATTCATCTGTTGTGATCGCACATTATGTTGTTCTAACAGTTTACTGAGAATTAAGCACTATTAACAGTGTATTTCATGTGAACAATAGGTTGTGTTGATCGTTAAATACTAAAAATTCTCATTATTGCAGTCCTTTTCGTTGTGACAATACTGCCACGCAAAATGTTTCACAAATTTCATTGCTTTCGAGCAGTCAGCTTGAAATAAAGTGTCCAGTTTCTATTCAGCAGTTGAACTTCTGTCACTGTTTAGATTTGGACCCAGTTAGTGTGTGTATGTTTATATATTGCATGGCAAACAAGTTTAAAGCCTAAGTCTCTCATTATGCTTAAAAATGTTGAGAATTGCACAATGTATTAAATGTAATACTTAAAATGAAGTCATCAATAGTACTAAGTTAAATAACCATCAGTAAACAACTAAAGATGGTACCTAGCAATAAGGAAAGAATTATTTTAGTGAATTTTCAGATTTACTAGATCTCTTCGGTTTCATGTTTTCCGAGTTTCCAATTGTAGTCTGCATCATACTATCCTGTTCAGTAGTTTCCTCTTCACATATAGTTTCAGTTGATGAATTAATCCATTCATATTCAGTATCAGATTGATGTGCTAAATCTGTTGTGTTACAGGTGAAAATATGAAGAGATCATTATATACAAAGAAGCCGAAGAACAGTAATATAGAAAGTGTCAGAGATATCTGTCAAAATGAAAATCAATACATCTGTCAGTTGGACAACATTTTATCGCCAAATAGATGGTGCAGCTGTAACAACAGAAGACAAGGACCAGGCAACAGATCGTTTTATCACGAAAATTAACACGTATTTATATAAATTTCACATGCATTATTATAGCCTAGTCAAGTAGACAAAGGCAGTCTTCTGACTGGTTGTTTTCGAGTTCCTCGGAAAGTGGAGCCATCTATCTGCGAATCATATTTGCCCATGTTTAAGTTTGCTGTGATTAGTTGTTGAAACAGCCTTGTTCATATTTTCTCACGGCCCATATTAGTGACCTAGACATTGAGGTAGATTAATGTCAACCGATGGGCTAGCAGGCTGCTCTCACCACACAGCTATGGGCAGTCGAATTAGCCCTGTTTTAGCAGATATATTCATGCTCAACGGTGAAAGAACAAAGTTGAAGCGTGCAATCGATGAAACAACTTCTTATTGTTGATAAGTGGATGACACATTTGTAGTGTGCAACAATGAAAGTAATTCTTCCTACCTACTCAGATTATTCAACGATGCACATACCAATATTTAACATGGAAATGATGGAAAGTTCCATTTCCTCGATATCGCCATGCAACGCCTAGAAGTTGGTAGTCTCCAGAAGTCAGTTTACCGAAAGCTTACATGGAAAGGTCAATACCTACATTTTAGTAGTTTTTTTAGAAATGGCTTTAAGCCAATACTAGTCAAGACTCTATACTATAGAGCTAGGTGAATGTGCTCTACAGAGAAATTAGAGGAAGGATTTATGTTTCTCGAAAAGATGTTGAAAAGCAACGGTTGCCCTCAAAGGTTAATTAACAAGCACGGAAGATCTGAAGGCTTAAATGTCGAGCAAATCACAGTTGGAAGAAAGCCCATCTTTATTCAACTTGAATGAGTTAGGCTAGCTTGTGTCCTGGAGGTAAGATGACTTTTCTTTAAGATTGAATACAACCTATACCTTGCTAATGGGTGCCATTGGGCATGAAAACTCGGTCTCAGATTACCAGAACGATCGACTTGTGACAATTAATAATACTGATCTTATTGTTATTAGTCATAGTGTAGAAAGTATAACGACATCTGCAGCTTTGAAAGTTCTATAATTGATTTACACAACTGGGGTTATAAATTTTCATGAATCGTAGATTGTGACGAATTTTTCACGAAAAAGAAGTCATACATGTATTGAAAGTTATGGAAGTTCCGTAAGTTTCACTTTAACCGAATAATAAAGAGGCAAAAGCGAGCCTGCTTCAGGCGTTTTTAAATCTGCTATGTTCTTTAAGCGTTAAAAATGGATCACTGCTAAAACAGGGATGCCATCAATGTACTTTGAGTTTTCCCGGCCTACAATTACTGCCACTAATTCAGCTGTCAAGATATCTTTGAAAAATTTACCAGAGATAAACAAACCTCTCACATGGAAATTCTTTTCTGCAAAATGCATTTTAATTCCTGTGACAGCTGTATCACTGTCACTTTACTATGATCAAATTGCTGTAGGGAGTATAAGTATTCTCACGTTAATCTTCACCATGTCATCTCTTAAGCTGCTCAGCCATGTAGAACAGATTGCGATCGCTATAAAATCACTTCAGCTTCATCTTTTATTTGTGGTCATGGTAGCAGCTGAACCAGCTTCAGTCAGTTATGGAATTATCACTAAATCCACTTATTTTAGGTCATAATATGTTGTCACAAAAGGTAACTTCACCTTTGACAAATAACATTAAAACAAATAAATTTCGTTTCATTAAGGGCCTTGAATTTTTTGAAAGCAAATTACTACAAAAGCTACTGAGTTAAGTAAAGCATCAACTGAAAGAGAATTGAACAGACCTGTGAGAAACTCGCCACTCACGCCTAGTGGAAAGGAACATAAAAAACTGGCATTTATTAAAACTCGTAACTGTGATACAGCATTAACAATAGAAGTAAAGTTGCTCTGAATCTCAACTTTGTATAATTTTCGTGTCGTCTAAATTTACAGAAAAATTAATGTCTATTGGCTGTCTGCTTGCAATATTAGGAAAAACAAACTGTCTCCTTAACCCATTTGGTTATGTGTGACAACACTTACTAGTCATTTTGATGTGCTGAACATTTTGATTATACGATGTTTGTCACTATTTATCCACCAATTAGCTAGCAGATTTATCTCTCCGGACTATTTGAAAATAAAATCATTCAAGGAGTTCGACCCTACAAAATAGCTAAAAGTTAACCTTTTGGATAAAACACTGTCATAAATATCTGGGAGAAGTCAAAGACTTCAACAGCCACAGTGATACATACTGATTAATCCGCGCGCGATCAAACATCATCGAAAAAACATGTAATCTAGGTGACTTATATGTAAAGTGAATCTATTCATAAACAAACTGAAAATTCTTCAAAACCTACAGGGCTTCATAACTGTGACAGTGCTTAAATGTAGTGATGTGAACTTAATCTCTTTTCGACAATCTAACTCCATGAAAGTCTTAAGTGGATGGAAATGACAGTTCTAATTGAGAGAACAAACAAGAAATCGATAAAACTAATCATATGCAAATAAGAGTTGAAATGTGTTTTCGTAAAATATCCGAACAGTTAACCATTTTCAAGAACAGATAACCAGTCTAAAAAAATATACTCATCAGAACATTTCATTAAAATACTGCTATTTGGGGTTGAAGACAAACAGAAAATACCATAAATTTTCAAGCTACTTTGGAAATAATCAGTAGGATAAACTATAAACATGAAAGAAATGCAACTGCCGAATGATTAATACTAACATTGTGCATCATCTGATCAAGAGCCGATAAACTCTAATCACCAGAGTATATATTAAGAAAACTGAAAATCAAACCAATCACACAAAGACTGCTAATTTATTGCATTTAACGCAAACACTAAACAATTTTTTTCATTCAGTTAGATAGTAGTCGAGAGAAGAATTAAAATGCCACGAGAAAATGTGCTCTCAAGTTAATCTGATTGTTTTCAACTCAGTTTTTTCACTACTAGGATTGGTACTGGTCTTAGATACCAGACGTTTACGGATCTCTGTTTCTTCATTGACCTCTCAAGACTGAGAGTTGTTTCCGACACATAAAAGTATTTCATTCGGGAACAACAAAGACAGTTACTAAGTACTTTAGTGAACTATCCTGTTCAAACATTGCTACATGGACTTTACTGTTGTAGATAACAGTGAAATTAGTGTAAATAAATGAAACATCAGCTGATTACGTGTGTGTAGTCTACGAGTTAATAAATATTGGATTAATCAGACAGTTTAATTGGATGCATTATTGGCTTGCTTACTGTTTTCCAGGACGTCAGCATATGAACCTAAAATTTAAAATAGTTGTTTATATAAATCGTATGTGTGATGCATTCACTGTTACCATTATTAACAGTAGAGACAATAAACGACTGCATGATAACCAGATAAGTTACTCTATTTAAAAACAAAGTTTAAAATTCAGATAATGTCAAAATATCTTAGAATGTAAATCGACACCAGCTAGAGAGTAGCCTATTCTATCTGTTGTGAGACTGATCAATGATATGTATCCAGTGCCCCGTCAGATCTTTTCGACCAACAGGTAGAAGACTGGTGACTCATAGTTTGAAGCTGTTCCGTCCAACAGTATAGTGCCACTGCCGTTCACCTCTCATTTATTTAAAATTTGCCATAGGTTTAACAAATACTTAGGAATAAGGGATTGACTAATATTTAACTAAAACTGCAAAAAGGTACTTCAAATGCGTAGTTAAACACGCATAAGGCAATAGTGCTATTCTGACTGACTGATTTCAAAGTAGAACTTTGCACAGATGTGCAGCAGTTCGAGTTGCCACGCTCCCGCCATGTAGCACACAAAGCAACAGAAGGGAGTAGAGACAGTATCAAAAGAGAGATAATAAACAGAAATATAAAGGCAAAAAATTGTAAAATGGAACAACAATAGCGTTTTATTGGATATTATATACCACAGAAAGTGAATGCATCTACGCCACTGACAACGATATTGAGCCATACCACCTATTGTCTGCAGCCATTTGTGTTTACCGTTCCGAAGACCCCAACCAAGAAGTCTACGCCTTCCGACGTGGCTGAAACTAACTGTTGTGGATTTCATTGACTGACGAGGCCATATTTTGATTTGACCACCACTACCGACTCTTTCCGAACCTGACCTTATGTCAGCTAAAATTTCCCGTCGATTGAGGAAGGTGATCGATGGCTAGGCATGCGTAATGCATGTCCCAACCATCCAAATCGGTGTAACTGCTTCACAAACTCGTCAATTGATTTCACATCCTTATTCATCAACTCGACTGATGCCTCACATCATTACTGCCGACCCTATTATAGCATTTCACACGCTAGATAGAACTCAGACACCTATGATCAAAGACAGCTAGCTAGCATTTTCGTATCTTCCTCTTCCAATGGTCATATTTTACAGCTAGTTATAAAGGAGGACAGAGCAAACTTCTGAGCAGTACACACGCCCTATGGTCGACAGTCAGATATCACGTCTACTAAGCCAGAGACGTCATAAGTTGGCGTATGTTACGCGAGCCTTCTGTATCCGTATTGAGATTTCGTCAGCGATCAACCCGTTGGGGCTGATGCAACTCCCAAAGCAAGTGAGGTGGTCAATACGCTCTACCACTTCACTCCTGTCTGTCTTTAAGCTAGGTGTGAGTCAATGTAGTTCAGTCCTGTAACGTCATCGTACATTTGACGGGTGCGAATCGCGTACCAAACATTTGAAGACTGCCGCTCCTCAAGGTTTTCAGAAGACTCTGCATCTTGTCAGTGTCTTCACCTAGAAGGACTACATCATTTGTATATTCCAAGTCAACGAGACTATTCCCTGGTAACAAGTCAATCCCTGAGTCGCTGAAGTTGTTAGCTAGGGTTAAGTCCATTAGTACAGCTGTGATGAGGTTGAATAAAAATGGGGATAGTGGGCATCCCTGTCGGACACCACTAGTTGTCACCACTTCAGATGACAACTCGCCGTAAGCCCTCACCTGAATGGCTGTATGAGTTCGAGTAGAGTTCCCTGATTAGTGCAATGTATTTCCTCGCCATTCCCTTTGCAACCAAGCATCGCAATAGTACCTCTCGGTCGACGAAATCAAGTGATGCTTTCAGGTCAAGAAGTATGATGATTGACGGATGCCAGTAAGTATGCCTATGTTCCGTTACAGAATCTGTCGAAGGGTGAAGATACGAGCGATACACCCTCTTCCTGATCTAAAGCCTGCTTGGTTGTCTCGTGTTTATTCCTCCTGAATATAGCTTAGTTTATGCATGGTTATTGGGCCTAGAACTGTAGATGCCATATTAATCAAGCTAATCTCCCTGTAATTATCGCAGGAAGACTTGTCTCCCTTCTTGTATATCGAGATAATCAATGACATACACCAAACAGACGGAACTTCCTCTCATTGCCAGACGCTGCCTAATACGTCAGTTAACGCAGACAGTAAACTGTGTCTACAGTCCTAAAATTCAGTGTATACAACAGTTCATTGAAAAGAAATGCTTAGTTCGAAGGTCAATTTCAGTATGAATTTAGATGATGACTGTTTTGAAATCTTCAACTTAGTTTTTCCATAATATGGTTTGACAACATTCAATATCAAAAATTTTGTGTTCATTTCATTATGAAGATATTAGATATATATTATGAAAATATCAAACTGACAAACTCTGAAAAAAATTCATACACGAATCAAAATTATATATATCCAAACCAAGTTCACTTTTAACGGTTTGAAAAAATTTGGGCATTGGGTATATGATATTCATTATAATAGAGGTTTTTTGTATTTCCCAATGAATGAAAAAACAAAACGAGATTGTTTTTACTGACGTTTCGCTATTTAATGCTAATAGCTTTCTCAAAGTATTATTAAACCGGAATTTACAAAATCTCAGTATATATATAACAAAGAGTTAGGGGTGAGAAAAAAATATATAGACTTAGTTCAACTTAAAAGGACATATTGAAAGTCAAAATAACAATGAAGATCGTTCAAACCAAATATCAAAGGTAATAGTATATCTGTTATTATATCAAAATAAAGTTTACTAACTTGATCATCGTTCGTTAGTCTGGGGTCATTTTTGGTTGTCAAGTTCGAGAATAGGTAAAGGTAACCAAACTAAGTGTAGAATGTGAAATACTTGATTATCGTTCGTCAGTATGAGGTCATTTTGGTTGTCATGTTGGGGAATAGGTAAAGGTAACTAAACTAAGTGTAGGCTGTGAAATACTTGATCATCATTCGTCAGTCTGGGTCGTTTTTTGTTGTCAAGTTAGCGAACTGGTAAAGATAGTAAAATCAAGTGTAGATTGTTGGATTTTGTCAGTGTGTAGAATTATGAAAGTAGTGTGCGTTTACATAGTGAACTTGCTCACCACATTTGCGTTGATTTTGCTACTTCATGGGGGAGGGTGTTGTAGCCAGGTTAGATTCTGTTTTAGTCCATCATTCCTATTCAGGCAATTTGGATTCCACTTGATATGAAGTGCTTCTGATATTAGACGTTCTTTGTGGTTTCTGAAGTTTTTCTGGATTATTTCAATATTGTCAAAATCAATTTTGTGGCCTGATTCTATAGCATGTAGACCTATGGCTGATGATTTTTGAAGTTTTTCCAGTTCAACTGGATTTCTTGGTGGTCGAAGAGAAGCTCTACGGTGTTCATTTCTTCTGATTTTGATTTCTCGAGATGTTTGTCCGATGTAGATCGCATCACATTCCGAGCATTTTATTTTGTAGACACAATTAGATAGAGAATCTTTCGGGATTTGGTCTTTTATATGGACAAGGTTGTTTTGAAGTGTGTCCGATGTTTTGAAGAAAACTCTAATGTCGAGTTGATTAAGTACTCTTCTGATATCGTCTGACGTCTCTGCTCTATATGGAATGACGACTGTTGAAGTCCATGTTTTTGGAATGCATTTTCGGCCATACTTAATGTCTGTGTTGATTTTGTTGATGAAGTTCGTTGGGTAGTTGTTTTGCTTGAGAGTTTTAGTGATGTTTGAAATTTCCTCTTCTTTTTCTTGCTCATCTGTGATATGTATCCACATATATATATTTATGTGTGTGTGTGCATGTTGGTCTCTCTTTCTGTTTGCTCGGTTAGTCTGTGACCACTTCACTTGTATGGACTTGTCTCCTTTAATAATGTGTATTCTCCTTATATTATATTATATATAATATGAGTGTTTGTTGACAGTCCGTTGCTTGGTGACATATATCCATATATGTTTGTTGGCATGTCTGCTATATTCGCTATGTATAATTGGATCGACACTCCATTATAATTAGCCATTCATGTTAAGACTGTCTAATGATTTTTCCCACGCTTGTCTGAATTATTTATATATATTCGCATTCAAAATTTGTGTGAACTACTTTACTTTACAACTACTTGACTTGCTTACCACTTTGGTGTGAGACCATTTATTTTCGTCTCCTTGTGTTTGGACAATAGAAGTATCATCGCAAACCTAGTGGTCTTCTGATTTCCGCCTTCTCGCGTCAGGACTATTAGTTTCTCGACCAGTCCATAACAATAATTCAGCGACGAGTACATAACAATTTGGCGACGGGGAAAACTAATACATAACAATCTGTTATCAGGGAGTGTGCTCGTCTAAGAAGACTTGAAACAACTGAAATCTTTGCGCTGATGGGGTGTGATGATTTGAAGTCTAAATATTATTTGGAGTGGGTTTTCTTCCTGAATATGGATATACTAAAATGTCCGTTTTCCTTTCTCTTAACTAGGCAGTCTAGAAATGGAAGTTCACCGATGTCTGATTCTGCTTCCGAAGTGAACTGAATATTGGGAGATACACTGTTTATTTTCTCCAGGAATGAATTGTGTAGATCTCGTTTTAGTACTACAAAAGTACGAGCGCACTCCCTGATAACAGATGAGCAAGAAAAAGAAGAGGAAATTTCAAACATCACTAAAACTCTCAAGCAAAACAACTACCCAACGAACTTCATCAACAAAATCAACACAGACATTAAGTATGGCCGAAAATGCATTCCAAAAACATGGACTTCAACAGTCGTCATTCCATATAGAGCAGAGACGTCAGACGATATCAGAAGAGTACTTAATCAACTCGACATTAGAGTTTTCTTCAAAACATCGGACACACTTCGAAACAACCTTGTCCATATAAAAGACCAAATCCCGAAAGATTCTCTATCTAATTGTGTCTACAAAATAAAATGCTCGGAATGTGATGCGATCTACATCGGACAAACATCTCGAGAAATCAAAATCAGAAGAAATGAAC